TTGCCACTTTGGAAACAACCTTTTCTCTTCAGGAGTCCCACTCTCCAAGAATGCACCCACAACCTTCCCATTTTGGATCCAATACTGTCCAAACTTGTGGCTTGTAGATTTTGGGTCATTGTCCCCGAATAGTACTGTTTCACCCACATTGTCACCATAGAACTGCCATGACAAATCAAAAGCGCGGGAATAAAAGTAGGGAAGGTAGTCATATGCATCTATGTTGGTCCCTTGTTGGCTTGCATATATTGCTTTTACAGCTTGTTCTGCAGATTTGCGAGCATGATCAACATGTTCAACTCTTCAAAGTTCATTGTATAACTTCAAAGGGAAGGTGGCAAACATCACCCTGGCAGGCATAGATATTGTTTCACTTTCATAGGAAAAATAACATGAAACCTTGGAACTACTTTATTGTTATGAACAAAAAGAATACTTTCTTAATTTAAAAACTTGAAATGAGCTTATTACACCGTGGAATAGGGATGGAGTCAGGCCGGGCCAACCGGCCCGGAACCGACCTGGACCGGTACTGTTTGGGCCTGGCCCGGTACCCAGGTCGGGCCCGGTTATATATACCCGGACCGGAAATTTTCAGGGGGGCTCCGGGTCAAGAAAAAATGAACCAGCCCGTTCGGGCCATTTTTTTTTGTTTTTTCAAAATCTCTGGGAGGTAAATGGGTTGGGCTGGGTGTTTTGGAGGGGTTTGGGGTGTGTGTTTTGGGGGGGGTAGGAAGTAGTTAGGAAAAAAGGTACCCGGGCTGACCCAACCCGACCTGGTAGCTACCCGGGCCGGTTCCGGGCCTCAACAAACAAAAAACAGCCCGGTCAGGCCTTCCAAAACAGATCAATGCCAAACTGTCAACACCTTAGACATTTGAACATAAAAGAAGATTAAAAAATGATAAAATATTCTGCTTAATATCCAATCTTTCCAAATCGGGGATACTTAAAAGCAGTACATTTGTCCCATAAAATCTATATAGTTTTGATAGTTCTTTTCTGGAAAATTGCAAAAGAAAGATATACAAATAACATCAGCGAAATCAAATAGTATTGTGGATCGATCATATCACAAATATATAGATTGGAAAAGGAAATTTGTATGTCGGAAGAACTTAAATTTGTCAAGAAGTAATATTGTTATTCAAACCAGATTTTATCCCTGAATTTTAAAGGTTCTCATATTTCCATTGAGTAAAGAATGAACGATAAAAATAAGTACAAACTCAGATATTAAATATGTAAAAATAGATCAAACTGACCTATTCCTTGCCTCACTCGTGTTCTATAAGCATTGAAGTTGTACTCAATGCCATGGATTTGTTAAAATCACAATGCGGATGAATAGAAGAAAGGTGGACTATATCATCAACTTTTTGATTCCATTTGTCTAGGAAAGCTAGCCATGCTTTATGGTTCATACTGTCAGGTTTCAATGCTTTGAGATCGTCAAGACTTTGATATTCCTCAATAAGGAAGAATTGTCGTGATTTCTTACTTGCTTCATTCGTATTCTCCAAGCATTGACAATCTACTTAACTGGTGCTCTAAAATCATTAAGAAAAATCATGTAATTATTCTCACAGATGATGCATCTTCATCAAGGCTTCCACTTGCAAATCCCAAAAACCGATTAAGAAATAATTGTAAACCAAATCTTTTGCTGATTTAAGAAATAAATAGAGAGCATGACCGAAAAAATACCTGTGATTTGGAAGAATCTGGACGGCCGAAAAAATACCTGTGATTTGGAAGAATCTGGACGGCCAAAAAAGAACATGTGATTTGCTCCATTTGATGAAGCAATAAATAAAATGAGAATTAGCTGAGTGAAGCATTGGAGTATCTGGTCAAGCATGGCTCCACCCCCGGTTCTCACCGTGAATAGAGTAAATCGAATCGAGCAAATCCCATATGCAAGCATGGCTTTACCCCCTGGTTCTCACCAAGAATAAAGAAAATCGAATTAAGGTTTGAACTCATAACGAATTGAAGATTGATAAGAAGCATTAATTCGAGTTGGTTAATTGATTAATTCATGGTGTTTAATTCATTAATTGATTTTAGAGGCGAGAAGGGAGAGGGGAAACTGAAATGGATGAGAGGCGAGAAAAGGTAGAAGGAGAAGGGGAAAGGATGGAATGAGAATAAGCGAAATAAATATTGAATTAAGGACGCAGAAACGGAATGTTGATGGGCGGGAAAAATGCAGTCAGAGACCATGGAATTAAGTAGGCTCTGTTAGTTCAACAATTCCATGGGATCCTATTTTCTTATTCTCCTAGCTGAGCTGCTAGCATTCTGATAATGGAGTTGTTTTAGTAATATTGAATCTAGTCAGAGACCGTCCACCTAGACTAAGGGTTAAGTGAGTTGGGGGCATACCATTTAATTGCATGTTGAAAAAGAGAGTTTCAATGTTAAATGTAGGTTTTTCATTAAAAGAGCATAAGAGGGGTACAAAACAGTTGGACACACAAATATCATTTATGCTTTCCTTTTTAGCTCACACTACTGCATACTTCATACTCCCTCGGTCCCATAATTAACTTCGGTTTTGACTGGGTACGGGGATTAAGATAGTGAGATTTGTGTGGTGGAGAGTTGTGCAGAGGAGAGAGAAATATGTAAGAATGATTGTGAACCACATATTCTTTATCAAAAAAGGAAAGAGGAGATAGATTTGGGACGGATCGAAAAGGAAAGAATGAAGATAATTTCGGGACGGAGGGAGTAATTGTTTTTATTTTAAACTAAAATGGTACTTCAAGAACTGAATTGGCAGAGACCCAATAACTATATCACTTGAAATCTTAATATGGAACACACATTAAAATCTATATCACTGAAGATGAAATATCCGTTCTTGGAGGTACTAAGAACCTGGAGGTTGAAAGGGATCTCCAGGTTGATGGAGCTTGATATGAAACAGAATAAAGAAGCTAATTGATTAGGAATATAAATAGTTGGATTATAAAAGCTAAATGATTGGATTAAGAAGCTAGATTGATTAGTAATTGATTAAATATTAAAATAAAGAAAATAGAATAAACACGTTGGATGAGGGTTTTAGGAGCATTTGAAGTTCATGTTTGAAAAAAGAATTATTTTTTCCTTATGTATTGATCAAAAACCCAACTTTAGATTGCAAAAATGTAAGGAGCTTAATAGGGGGAATCTATTAGTAATACGATAATAGAAGATATTTAAATAAACGAATAAAATCAAACCTGATTTTTCAAACTGATTACTAATAAAAATAAAAATCCAAAAATATCAGACCTATTTGTTCTCTCATTCAAATTGCTCCAGAATATCAAATATCAAACCTTCTTTTTCTCTCATTCAAATTGCTAGAGAATGTCAAAGTATAAAAAAACCATTCATAGATGGATTACTGGAGAAATGAAGACAAACAATTACGGAGAGAAGGCCAACATGTTAATCTTTTTGTCTAAACTGGAAAATGAAAATCAAAACTGAGATTCTTTTTAACTAAATCAGTACCTTGAGTATTCTGGTAAAGAATATTTAGTAAGATGTGATTAGGAAAACGAAAAAAGGAACCCTAAATTTATCCATCAAATTTACACTAAATAAAAAACAATTGAAATTAAAAAATGAAGCAAAATATATTCGGCAGAATCAGTACCTTCAGTATTCACATGTTTGTTTGTCCGCTTTTGTTCTTGTGAACTGTTTGGATCTCTAGCGATTCTAATACTATCCAAACTTATTTTAAGCGAAAAGTGACCAAAAGCGAGAACTTAGAGCTTTTATAAAAAGCGAAAGCGCTAAGCGAAGCGTCGCTTTTACACAAAAAACGATGGCTATAGAAAAATACAAATATAAAATATTCCAATGCATATTTAAGTCAAAAACACATCAATAGTCATAATACTCATAATAGTACTAATAATGCGACATAAAGGTAGAAAATATCCATCACACAATGTCATAATAATGTCATAAAATCAACTCTACGAAGCATTATCACTCCATAATGTCATCCTCCACATGAATGTTCCCTTCTTCTTCATCCATAACCAAAGCATCGAAGTCATCACTATCATCATTATACACCCCAACATCTTCTTCATCTTCTTCCTCATCTTCATCAACAAGCCTATGGGTGGAGGCTTTTTCCTTGGACTTGGACTTGGAAGTTCCCACTTTTTCTTTCCCTTTTGAATTGCGTCTTAGAGAATATGGTGTATCATGTACACCGGAAAACTTCGCAACGTCCCCCCATGTCAAAGTATCTCCATCATCAAAGACCAACTCTTCGTTTGCATCATCAAGAGTACCCGTCAACCATTCATTTGCCATGTCTATATATTCTAAACAAATTGGATCGATAGAGTCACACATTTCCCACCGACGCCTCAATGCCCTATTGTACTTAATAAAAACCAAATCATTGAGGCGCTTGTACTCTAGACGACTTCTCCTCTTTGAATGTAATTGTTAAGCATTTAAATATTGTTGTTAGCATAGTCAGTTAAAGTAAAAATGAAAATGATCTTACTTATTTACATTTAAATAATTATTCTTACATGTTCAAATACGCTCCAATTCCTTTCACAACCTGATGCACTTGTTGTTAAACTAAGAATCTTGATCGCAAATTCCTTTAAATGAGGAGCACTAGCACCAAATGATGTCCACCAATCAACTAGAGAATAAATTTAAAAAGTTAATGTATTAATTTTTTTAAAAAACAAATATATAGAACGATTAAAAAATATTAACCTGGGGGCTTGACACCTCGTTGTCTCTTCGCAAATGAGCTGCTAAATAATCCATGTCCTAGCTCCCAAGTTGACACTTCATTTGCGATTTTCGTTTGAAGTTCTTCATTTGGAACCAATCTCTCCAAACAGTCATAAAATCATGCTACCACCTCAGCCGAATTAATGGTAGAAGACACCGGTGACTCACCTGGAAATCGAAAGAAATCCGGATTCAACAAGAAAGCAGCCGCGTGCAATGGTCGACGGAGTTGAGAAGTCCATCTCGTATCAATTATCTCAAACACTCTCTTGCACTTCGTTTCGTCATTGTTGAAGGCTTTGGCTATTGCTGATTTTGTTATCTCCATTGCGGGATAAACATATCCCATAGCCGGTTTGACATCTCCATCAACCAACCGAAGTGTCGTCATAAGTGGTCCTCCAACTTTAAGTGCCTCATGAAGTGTATTCCAAAAGGATGGCATTTGCACAATTCGGCCACACTCCTTTGCCGCCTCTTCCTTGGAGTAATTAGTTGTTAGGAACTCTTCACAATTAAAAAGTTTTATCAACTTCATCTTGTGCTCCTTCAACCTTTTGAATGTCAAGAAAGCCGTGGCAAATCGTGTTTTAGCAAATTTCACCAAGTCTCTCTTGCCGGTGAATTTTCTAAACAAGTTCAACAACTTCGTTTTGGAATGGATGTAGACCGACAGCTTGAGAGCTCTTTTGGAGGTTGTCTGGAAATGCTTAAGGTCAAATATATCCTTGAACATCAAATTGATGCAATGAGCAGCACAAGGAGTCCAATACATTGCGGGGTACTTCTCCATTAAATCCTTGCCTGAGCGATTACAATTGACTATTATAATTTTAGTTAATTAAAAAAATATTAAAGATAAAGAATAGAAGTGTAAAAAGATAATTACCAGCTTTGACATTTTCAGAAGCATTGTCTGATATCACTTGAACAACATTTTCACTTCCCACCCTATTCACAAAGATTTCGAAGAGCTCTAGCATTTTCTCCCCATTCACGATGTCCAAACTTACTTCAACTGATTGGATGAAATACGATCCAAGTGAGCAATTAACTAGGACGTTGATATACGCCCAATTTCTTCGATCAGTCCACTTATCCATCATTAATGAACAACCATATTGGTTGCAAATATCCTCATGTGGTTTAAAAAGCTCTTTCACATGATCTACTTCTTTTTTGAGATATGGCACTCTCACTTCATGGTAAGTAGGAGCCTTCATGCCTGGCCCGTGTTGTGCCACAGCATCAATGAAACTTTGTAGCGTCTTATAATTCACGCAATTAAATGGCAACCCGGCTTCATACATCCATCGTGCAAATGCAGTTACAGCCTTTTCTCTCAACTCTTTTTTGCAAGTTGCTAGAGTTACTTCTACCCCTCTTGCTCTTTTCAATTTTTGATGTTCTTTTGAAACACTTTTGAAGTACAAATTCATTGGGCCTTTTATTGTTGATGTTTTGCTCGTACCATCTTCACATTCAATCTCCTCAACATCATCATCATCAAAATCAGGACCTAAATAGTTCTCTTTCAAAGATTCTTTTCTTTGATTTTTTGCATCCAAAACCTCTTTCATGGCAATTCTAACTTCTTGAGGACACTTGTCACATGCCTTCACACATTGAAAGCCACCGACAAGATGTTGCTTGTGACGGTATATGCCTCCAGTTGTTACTTTATCACAATAAATGCATCGAACACGAGTATAATCATTTTGTGAGACTTTCTCTCCATGCTGCCATGCCGGGTCCGTAGTTTTGGATTGCATTCCCGACATTTTCCTTTAGCCGTACATGTTTCAAAAATGTATAATGTTTAAAACCAGGCAAGTTTGTTAAAAAAAGCCAAATAATAAAACCAGCAGCACTTTGTTCATTCCTAGGCTGGGGATGGAATGTACATGTGCAATGGGACTATGGGAGACTACTTTAAAATACAATAAGTAGCAATAAGTAGCAGCAGATGGAGAGAGCAGTTCAATCGCAGCGGAACAAAGAAGAAATACAGCAAAACAAAGAAGAAGATAGCCAGTACCAGACCAGTGTGAAAAGCAGAGTAGCAGCGGATGGACTTGATGGAGTATATGGCCCGGGAAACCCCGGCCCACAGACTCCTACTGCACCAATAAAGGCCCAACCGGCCCAAGAAGCTCAACAGGCCCAAATCACAGCGCCCAGAGTACCAAGCAGCCCGCACACGCCCAAGCAGCCCGCACACGCACCAGGGGTGCCTTCGGCCCCCTGGCCGAGGGCTCTAAACTCTTACAGGACGGGTTTATCAAGCAAACTAAGAAACTGGGAAAAACGGCGAAAATCAGTAGCCCTCGGCACCTGGAGCCCTCGGCACCTAGGGGTCCCCGGAACTCAGAGCCTTCGGCTAGTCCTCTACAGCCGAGGGCACCCTGCCCGACATGATATCCACACCACATGCGTACAGATCACCGTACCCTGTACAAACGTCCCCTCCAACAGCCGCATTAAATGCGCCCACATGCGGTTGCCAGCGCCAACCAGGTGAGGTGACCTCTCGGCCAATGGACGCTTGACACGTGTCCCTGTCCGGCATTTATTGCTACTATAAATAGCACCCCATTTCCCCATTTGTAAACCACGACATTCATACTGAATACACTCTCTCTCTTACTTACTTATGCTTTGACTTCTCTCTAAGTTATTCCCAGCGATAACCCCTCGGATATATACCCCCCGAGTAGACTATCCATCATTTGGTGCTCTCGTTGAGAGGTCGAACAATCGAGTAAGAAACCCTCCCCCTTCGCCAAACACTAGCCCTCTACTAAAATGGTGAGAACAACACGTGCCAACTCCAAAAACGTAGAAGACAAGAACCTGGCCTTCGGCGACGTCAACGCCCCCGAAGCCTCTCACAGGGCTCCCGAGGGCGGTGTCATCGCTGGGCTGGAACAGGCGGCTGTCGACCTACGCCTTCAGATCCAACAGAATGCCCCCGATGCCCGCCTCGGCATCGAGACCAAGAAGAAAAACCGGAGCGATGACCAAGTCAGCCCTCCGGTTCTCACCATCGACGTTCAATCGGCGCTCTCCGCCTTCATCCAGACGCTCACTCAGAACCCAGGTGCCTTCGGTACCCTGGCTCCGGCTCAACCCCAGGTTGGGGAGAACATCGTACTTCCCCCTCTGCCACGCCCCTTCGGAAACCCCATCCCTCGGGTAAGGAATGACGAAGGGGTAGTGGCCCAAGATACGGCCTCCCAGGAAGTTCAGTCCCGGGACCGCCACAATGACAACAGAGAAAGGCCCCGCACTTCTGCCCTCAACCGGCTCGGAGGAGGGCAGGACCGCCGAGGGGTCCAAGACCGCCTCGGAGGGAAAGCACTCCGAAGGCCCCAGGAGAGCGGAGGGTCTGTCTCGAGGGCAGACGAGGAGCGTCTCCCTCGGGACAAAGGCAAGGCACCCCTTCATGCCGACGATGCTCGCCACCAAATCAATCAGGCCCACTCGGCCCGGGTTCGTTCGCAGGGGGCGGAGACCCTCCCGAAGGATCCCCGGGACGAAATTATTGCGGCCCTCCAACGCCGGCTTGATGAAATGGAGGCCAACAAAGCTCACGCCACCACCTCCACCCCTCATTCAGATCTCAAATACGAGGCCATGATGGCCAAAATGGAGGAATTACAGAAGAAGGTGGCAGAGGGCTCCGGGGAACCCGTCATCCAGCTCCGGACCCGGACGCCATTTACCCCAAGGGTACTGGCGGCCCGGATCCCGGAAAAATACCGAGGGCAACACATGCAGCCCTACAACGGGAAGACGGACCCCCAGGAACACTACAACAAATATCAAAACAGCATGATGATGGTAGGGGCGTCGGACGAATATTTGTGTCGTTGGTTCCTCTCCACCTTAGAGGGGCCGGCATACGAATGGTTCAACCGGTTGCCCGAGGGCTGCATTGATTCGTGGCAAGAACTCGCCCAGCGATTCTTGACACAATTTGTCGGGAGGCGTCGCACGAGGAAGCACTTCTCCCACCTCCTAACCATACGCCAGAAGAGGGATGAGACCCTTCGGGACTTCCTGGAACGCTGGAGAACGGAGGCCGACAAAGTCGACGGTGTTGACGACGGGACCCTCCTGGCCCTCCTACAAACCGTCCTCCGCACCGGTAACTTTTCAAGGAGCCTCATCATTGAACCCCCCCCCCCCCCCCCCCCGCGACTACATAAGGGCCCTGCAGCGGGGGGACCGATACGCTGAGGCCGAGGAGGTGGAGAAATACCATCAGCACCCAGACCAGCAACCCCCGAGGGCTGACAATAAGAACAACCGGGGGCCGGGGGCTCCTCCAATTCACCCCAAGTCTTCAGGACCCTCTGATGACCGCCCTCGACAAGGCCAAGCCAAGCCCGGGGGAGGTTATAAGAGCAGCCCTAAGACTTGGGCACAGCCCATCCTCCTGGACCGCTGACGAGCACTTTGTCACGGTGCGTCAAAGTAAATTCAATACTAACACTTATACGTAGTATAGCGTAGTAGAGTTCGTATCCACAGGGAAAGGAATAATTCTCTTTTTATGATACTTAGTAAATAAAAAGGGGGGATTTGGATTGAGTGATTTAATTTAATTTAGAACTAAGATGAACAACCTATATGTGTTTAATTCAAAGATAAAAAGGACTTGGCATTGCTCTTTTCCACTTGTTGATATATTTTAGTCGATCATTGTTATATCTATAACTTATTCCCTCTCGAATACTCAATCGGGGAGTATATCCACTTCATCGAGGGCAGTTATTAACAACGACCGTTCATTAATAACCCTTACTATTAATCAAATATAGAACAACGCCTTATACCGATTTAATAGTAGCATTTAATCTTTGTAACTCCTTGATGAAATCAATTGAGATTGATAACCTCAACACAAGCGGTTTCGGTTTAACCAACAAAATTAATCCCTCTTAAGTTTATTAACCACGACCGTGCATTAATAAACCGAAGCTACTTACTTGTGAAACCATCAACGATTAACCATCGGTTCGTTGATCGTTTCTAGTAATAATTAATATATGAAACAAAACTAGTTGATCCTTTAAGTAATGTTCAAAATATTAATATGAAATAAGAGTAGGGATTAATTAATATTCAAGGAAGAATATTATTAATGAAGATGAATCCTACTATAATTAATATCAAGATGTTAACTAATTGTCATCTTAGCAACACTCCTCAATATTAATATAGAGGAAGAAAATACCATTCTAACTAATGTCGAGATGTTAACTAATTGTCATCTTAGCAACACTCCCCAACATTAATATAGAGATGATATTAAGGAAAGAACTATTAATTAATATTCAAGGAAAGAAGTTAAGAAAATAACTCACAACTTTAATAATCAACAACCTTCAAGAGCAACACCAAGAATGGAAGTTTAGCTCCTCATTTGGAGACTAAACATAGCTAGAAAAATATAAAGAAATGCTATTCTAAACTGAGCTAAAGAGTATGGAAGAAGGGATTATTTTTAGAGAAGAAAAAGTGTGCTATTTATAGGTGTTTTTCAACACCTTTGGCCGGGTATCCGACCGGGTCAAGTACTCACCCGACCGGGTCCATGTCAAAATCAAATATCCTCCACGTTCTGGCGATCTTCAGCATGTTAAAGTGTCCGGGTCAAGTCAGACCCGAC